ATAGCATGCAGAAAACCTTCCAACACATGAAAAAAAAAAAAACTTAAGGAAAAAAAATGATAGAAGGGCCAGGTGGAGGCCTAAACATCCTCAAGGCTCTGTGTGTTAGTGACAAGTTCCCAAAGCAGAGATTTCATAAACACTGAAAGTCCATGGTAGCATAGCAGTGGCTATAAGCCATTACTGGTGTCCAAAGCCTTGGGTTGTGCAGCTCAGATGGAGGGAGGAGCTTTCTTGTTGAAAAGATCAGAAGACTAAACCATGCCCCACCCATGCTGCTAAGGACACTCAGCCAAGGCAAGCCCCTAACCTTAACCCTGTTCCTCCTGTCAGCTAAGAGTATCCATGGGAAAAGCAAAAGATCAAACCAGGTCCAGTGAGAAGTGAGCAGATCTCCCAGAGAGAAAGGAAGGAGGTTAGGCCAGGCCAACAGGAGAACTTTGGAACTTAGCTGCACACTCAGGACCTAGATTCAGATCTCTAGGTTTCCTAGCCTGGCCAGAGGGTGGATGAGCTGAATGGGGAAAATGCAAGTGGCCACCAGTCCTGGGTGAGTCTGTTTTTAAAGTTCCTAAGGAGAAGTCCTTAGGAATTCAGTAGGTCATTATATTTCTTGAAGGTCACAGCCTGTCAAAAGGAAATGGAAATTTACAAAAACTGAAAAAAATGGTTTCTTGAGAGAATTGTTAGAGTAGCTTACTGAGCAGCTGTTGACACCTGATTTAGGCACTTGACACTCATGCAAATCACATTGTGTGAATACTTAAGTAAAATAGTGTAATTATCACTAAAATGAGGGGGGAAAAAACCCCAAACTTCAACTTTCTAAAGCAAATGCTAGCAATGCATTTTAAATTTGTCTTCTTTCTTCTTGATGTAAAATATTGAAATGCTTGTTAATTCATTATCCAAAAGGTACATTTCTGATAAATCAAAACACTTAAGGAAATTATTACCAGCACTACAATATGAATAAATGCCTTACCTCCTGGCTGTAACCTTTGCGAGCTAGCATTTATCATTCAGATCACATGAAATAGCCACAAACCTAATTTTGCTAGTGCCAACACTGATACACTGTGGAAAGTTTGTGATTATAAATGTTTGTGTCATTCTTGTAATTATGGGGACAGGGTGACTAGTTGACAAGGCTTGTGTTCCCCCAAAGGAACGCAATAAAGAAGGACATCAGGGCACAGAATAAACTTGTGCCTCTCTTGTGTGCTGATAGACTCGTGGAAAAAGAAAGCTCACAGAAACCAGAAAACAAAGCAGTCCCAGGAAATTCAGCAGAGCAATCAGACCCATCAACCGTTTTTCCTCCCCCCAGCTGTCTACCTCACAAGGGACAACTGCTCCTTAATACTACTCAGCCCCGTTTTAGATGTCCTGGTGAAAAAAAAAGAAGCTGAAAAACTGAGCTAATATGAATTCTATAAAACATAAAAGTACTTGGAAATTGTGAAAATTCAATTCAAAGTATTTGTACTTTGTTAGGGCTATGATACATTCACACCCGCATGAGTATTTATAAACGTTTTTATACATGTGTTCTTAGCTTACATTTTCTTTTTCTTTTTTGTCCTGCTTCCTTCCCTGCATCTAACCCACTTCATTCCCCTCTTAGGAACCCTTATTACAAAACACATAGTCTTTCCTATGCTTTGCAAACACATGTATGTGTTCTTACTTGCTTTATCTCAAGTTTTGCCACTATGAAAAATATTGGAGTGAACATCTTCAAAGTTATTTTTGTTTACTAGATTTGTAACTGTATGGGATAGATTTCAGAGGTAATAGGATTATTGAAAGGAAAGTTTTTTGTTTTGTTTTATTTGGTTTTTATTGTGGGTCTACTTTCCTAAAGGTCTGTAACAATCGGCATCTGCTTCAGTCGTCTGTAAACATGTACTTGTTCTGACATCCTGCCCATAGGGTTACGTTTCTCTGTAACTTTGCTCATCTGTCTGTGGTAAAAAGGATCATTGTTGCAACATGCCCCTCTTGTCGAGCTGCCTTTGATGCTGATTTACTTTATTAATCTGCTCATCTTGATCTTCTCATGGGTATCTTTTGTCGTCCATTTTCCTGCTGGTCTGTACTTTGTAGGCCTTTGTCAGCACTGTGTGTTTACATCAACAGCCCATTCTTTGTCAGTGGGGGTGTAAAATCCAGCTTTCCAAGTTTGCCTTGTGCCTTTTGATTTTTATTGCCACACAAAGGCTTTTTGTCTCTTTTATATGATGCTTGGGGTTGAACCCAAGGCCTCAAATGCACTAGGCAAGTCTTGTATCCCTGACCTACTCACATCTCAGCTCCTTAGCTATTTAAGATGCACAAATATGTATGCTTTCTGACTCCTGAATTGATTAAGGTATTTATAGCCCTAAGTGCTTTATGAATTCACCTGGATTTTCTTCCCAGAGTTTCATTGGTTGTCTTATTTACATTTATCTTTGGAGCATTGGATATTTGGTTTTATGTATGATGACAAGTCAGTGACCCAGTTAATAAAACTCTAGTGAGCATCTACTATCCACACAGCCCAATGCCTGTCAGCTAATGTGGACACAAACCTGACAGCTCCACACTCCTGCCCCATGCTGCCCACCTGGGCAAGGTCAGAGGTCTGTCAGATGGATTTCAAAACTTGAATAAGCATCCCTATCACCCACAGCTCTCCATGCCCATTGTATAAAAACTCTCATAGACAAAGGCCCTAGACATCAAGTGCTGAGCGACCGCTCAGGGGATAAAGTGCTTCTTCTGCAAGCACAGGGACCAGAGTTTAGATCCTCAGAGCCCACACAAAAGCCAGGCAAGCGTGGTGACCACCAGAAAAACACTAGGGAAACAGAGGCAGGGGATCCCAGGGGCAAGCTGGCTATATAGACTAGCAGTAATTGTCAAACTCCTAGTTCGTCAAGAAACCCTGGCTCAATAAATAAGTGGTGAACAATCAATTGTTGACTTCACACCTACAAACCTACAGAGAGAGAGAGAGAGAGAGAGAGAGAGAGAGAGAGAGAGAGAGAGAGAGAGGTTGGGGTGGAGAGAGGGAGAGGGAAAGGAGGGAGGGAGAGAGAGAATACAGACTTGAGTTCTATATTCATTTTCTGGGGCTGCGGTAACAAACCACAGACCTTGGGGCTTAAGCAGCGTAACTGTTGCCTTGCGTTCTAGAGGCTCTTTAGAGTCTGAGATCGCAGTATCACATCATCAGGATTCCTTTGAGACCTCTGTTCTTGGTTTGTCAATGCAGTTTTTCCCGTGTGTGTGTGTGTGTGTGTGTGTGTGTGTGTGTGTGTGTGTTTACACACATGTGTGCAGATGCTAATTGAAGCCAGAGGAAGTGGTCAGATTCCCATGAAGCTGGAGTTACAGGAGGTTGTGAGGTGCCTCACATGGGTACTAGCAACCAAACTCTGGTCCTCTGGAAGAGCGGGAAGCTCTCTTATTAACTGCTGAGCTGTTGCTCCACTCCCAACCAGAAAACCTTCACTGAGTATTTGTTATATGTTCCCTGAAGTTCTGGGAACTCAGGAAAAAGCAGGGAAGTGAGTCCGTCTTCAGAAATACAGTCCTTGGGTCCGAAGGCATGACAGGGACACTCAAGGGCACAGGGATCAGAGCTAACAGGGCCTGTCGAAAGGGCCTACGGTCTGTCTGTGAAGGGCACCCTTGACCTTCTAGAAGCCATTTTGTTCTTTAAATTAATACTTTATTTATGGGGCTGGAGAAATGGTTCAGTGGTTAAGAGCACTAGCTGCCCTTGCAGAGGACCCAAGTTTGATTCCTACCATCCACTTGGTGGCTCTCCACCACTTATAACCCCAGTTCCAAGGAATCAGTTTCAAAGCACCTAGCACCCTCTTCTGGCCTCCACCGGCACTAGGCAGTCATGTGGTACACAGACAAAGCATTCATATGCATAAAGTAAATTCATAAAAATTTAAATAATAATAAAACATTTTATTTAGTGTTCATATGTGCACATAACATATTTTGGTCATGTTTGCCCTCCCATTCTCTCCCTCTAATTCTCCCTCTACTCCCCTACCACTTTTCCCTCCCAACCAGCTCCACTTGCTCTCTTTGTTTAAATACCCACTGAGTCCTTGTATTGTATGGGTTGCGATACTGGAACATGGATAGCATCTGAGGGGCCTCATTCCTGAAGAAAACTTTCTCCCCCAACAGCCATCAATGGCTAATAGCTTCACAGACAAGAGCTGGGACTTCACAAGCCCTTCTCCCAGCCAAGCTAGGATTGGGCTGGCTGGATCTTATGCAAGAATTAGGCTTCATTGTGACATTTTCCAAACAAAATTTGTTAAGTTGTTTTTCTTCTGCTGGCTTTCTCCCGTTTCCTTCCTCCTTTGTGCCTGCCCAACCCCAATATCCATGTTCAGTGGAATCTGTAATAATACTCAGATTGAATAGAGACAATTGGATGGATGCAGGGCCAAGAATTCCTTTATCCTCAGGATCTTTTTTGTTCCTCACTTGCACAGCAATTATTTGGATTCTTTGCCATCTTCAATTTACTTCTGTCACAACAGTGTTGTTCTAATACGTCAATCCAGACTTCAGATGGTATTGAAGTCAAGCTAAAATTTCATCACAGACAACTTTAAAGTGTTTCTTAAAATTACTAAGAATATATATAATAACTTGATACTTTATTTTGTATTTCTTGCCATTCAGGTAAAAAATGAGATAAGTAGATTCAACCTGTATGTTATAAGAATAGTCCTGGCCTCATCTCTTCTATGACTTGTGTCCCTATCCCACATTACCAAACTCTTCTTGCTCTTTTTTTTCCTCTTCTTTTTCTCTCAAAGTCCTAGACCATCAGACAACTGGAGGAGAACACACAACTAGAAATATAATACGAGTGAAGAACAAACACAATTTACATTCATAGAAGTTCTCATTCATCCAAAGGAAAAACATAGTTTCTGAAATTTAGAACTTATTTATGATCATTTTTCTTATAGGTGTCGCTAAAGAAGAGCCAGAAATATTGAGACCTCCAAGACGACCCCGGAAACCCAAAACATTAAATAACCCTGAAGACTCTACATACTACTATCTACTCCACGTAAGTGGCTCATTCTTACAATCAAACTGAGGACCAGTGGAGAGTGTGGCTGCCTTAGGCTGCTCCAGAAGAAGGCCTTGCAACACAAAGGCCCTCCTTGAATTCCATTTAACAAATAGCCCATTAAATGGCCCCGTTGTTTTCTTCTAGCCCTTTTCCTCATGGTCCTGGCCTCTCTTGTAGCTTTGGACCTAGCGTGTTCTCCCAGGAACTTTTTCTGGTAGCCACTTGTCTGAGCTTACATACAAATACCAATGTAGAAAGGGAAATCCATCATGGGAAAGCCTTCCAGACAGAGACATTCACTGAAATGAGTATGTTGTTCTGCGAGTAGAAAGAGAGAAGTGAACCTTTGTTGAGCTTCTGCAAACTCCTGGTCAATAATGAGATGTATTTATAATCATTGTGATAGCTGATCCTAGAACCAGCCCTTAACTTTATGTTCATATTTCAGGTCAGAATCATGAGACACAGGTGAACATCTTACCCTTCATATCAGGGCCATTAACTTTATTGAGAACTCCTGGATCCACTCAGTTGGCAGTGTGTATGGTCTCTACTAGGCTTCCCTTCCCCTCATGTTCCTGTTCTCCAAGCATGCAGCTGCTATCACCTTGGTTTCCAAAATCAAGAACTTAGTGGCTGTCCTGGGTCTTGCCCTCCCTTTTATACCTGACACCTGTGCCAGTTCTACATTAAGCCTTCTAGCTACCATTCCTTCCTCCGTCTCTAACCACATAGAGTATCCCCAATTCTGACCATCACCATTTCTTAGTCAGACTGTTTTAGGCTTCAAATCTTACCTTCCCCCAACCTACACCTGTAAATTCGATTATGTTCTTCCTTCAGTTGGCTCAGTAACTCCATCAGCAAGAAGTCCAGATTCCAATGTCTTCTTCACTGGACACAGAGCTTCTGTCCCATGTCAACTCGCCATAGCAAATTGCTTACGCTCCCACAGCGAGCCACATCCCCTCAGCCTCCAAGTCTTCCCATCCCAATGGGTCCCTTTGACCCCAATGGTCTCTCCACTTGTAATACTTATTCAATCTACATTCTGTACTGCCACAGAGAGGAGCAAGACTTCTCCATGATCATGAAAACCCAGAGAATCTGAGAGTTCATTGGAAACAAGATTGACATGCCACAGGCAGAAAAAATGAAGCTCACATCAGACTTCCCAGTTAGCTGGGCCAATTCTAGTCTCCCCTTCTCTATGGTGAACTCACCATGTTTCTGCACTATGCTTCTCTCCCTCATGGTGTTGCCCAGAATTCAAACTTACAACCTCTTCACCTTTAAGTTCCTTAGAAAAATTTCATCAGCTGTTGTGACCTCAGTCACTGCTGAGTTGAGAACCATTGTCTCTGGCTTAGATCACTTTTCTAGCTCCAAACACAAATAGCAAACTACCTAATGTTTGTTATATAATCTACATGGATGTGCATACAGAGAGGTCCAAATGTAGGTGCATTCATTCATAATGTGTTGGGTTATGTCACATGTCATATAAGTCGCCCAGTTAGAATACAACAAAAATAGCTTTAGTACAACCATCACCACAGTCAATTCTACAAGATTTCTATCACTCCATAATGAAACTCTACTCATTATCAGTCACTCCTACATTCCATTCTTGACCCAAATCCTAAGAAATCCCTAGCTGACTGTGATAGAATCCCATCTAAACAGAAGCACATAGTATGTGTTATATGACATAATTTTATAAGCTAGTAATCACTTATCCTGGTTCTCCTTCTTTCTCATACATCATTAAGATAATAAATATCATACATAATGATTGCATATTACTATATAATATATATTTTCAATTCTTCTATTCCCATTAGAAGTCAATCCAAGAAGAAAAACGGAGACCAAGAAAAGACAGGTAATTATCTTTCTTAAATTACAGCATCATTTTGTTCAACTAAAACTATAAATCTTTATGTTCAAATTTTATTACCAATCACATATATTTGGAAAATAGCATGATCTCAAAACACGTAAATACTAAGTGTGAGGACTACATGAAACTTATAAATTAAATATACTGAGCCAGAACTATACAAAGCATTCACTAAGTACTCAAATATGATTTGGATGAATTACATCATTGGGACAGACTGCTTTTCTCCGCCCATTTAATAATGGTAATTAAGCAATCAGAACACTTCAGTATCCACAAACTTTCTTTTCCTTTTTGTTTTACGATCTTTTGATACATATTAAATGTCACATTTTATACTTTTTGTGGGTTGTTAGGATGGCAAGGGCTGCAGTTTTGGTAGGTGTGGTGGGTACACTTATCTTCACATGACTCCTTTCCCTGTAATATTGCAGTCTTTCAATACTTCAATATTTTGACATTTTAATCTTATTATCATGTCAGATAACTTTCAGACAATGCTAGGAATACTAAGGGGTGCTTATATTGAACATAAGCAGAGTTCCCTATTTATCACTTGATGGTACCTATAACAGCAGTCAGTTAAGGTAATGGATGAAAATGCTTCGTATTCACTCAACCAAGGCCAGTTTTCATGACAGTTATCCATGAGCCTGGTGTGAATATGAATGTAGACTGGCCAAACTGGACACCATTGTCACTGGCAATTCTAGAAACTACATGTTAAAACAAACCCAACAAAAGCAAGAAAAGCCAGTCCAGCAGCTAATGTTCTATTCAAGGTAAGAGATGGGGAATGCTTTTAATTAACAGGATGTGCTGTTTTCTACATTTCAGGGTTTCACCCACATATGTGGGCATGTTTATGATGCTCTTAGGTTACAGTAAATACTAAGAAGAAAACTCTTAGCCTGTAAATCAAGTGAGTAGAAATTAGACTGATTGTGTAGTGTGTTTATATGTTCATCTGCAGTCAAGGAAAATTACTAGGTTTGGAAGATTTCTATTATAAGGAACTTTTGCCCACTCATTCTGGACCAAAGGAACATAGCTCTAATGTAAGAGAATGGAGACCACAGAAGGAACTCCAGGATCATTGCACTGAGATTAATGAAAGGTAATAACATACAGTCTGTATAATGTTCAATGATAAACTTTGAATGGAAATTCAAAAATTCTAATTTAATCACATTTCTAATTTTCAGAATCAGGGATAACAAACCAAAAATAAGTTTGGAAAAAAAAAAGATTCATGGAAAAAATAGGTGTCTTGGGTATGATTTTTTCATCTTATCACTAATTTTGTGACATTAAATAATTTATCTTGCAGCTTATATACAACTTTGGAAATAATTTTCCTCTTTCCTCCAAAATTCATTGTGAAGTTCTGAGACTAGGGGTGCATAATAGAATTAAAAAAAAAAACATGTTGCATGAGAAATAGGAGCATTAGCAGGCAAATGGGAGATGATTGGAAATCCTTGGCAAACATCCTGTTGCCTAGGGTACCCAGACCCCCTCACCCTTCTCTTTCACAGTGTACAATGATGGTTAGAGAGAAGAAGTCTGGGAGTCCAAATGTCTTGAGTTTGGACCCTGATTGAGCTTTGTGTTTTCTGAGCTCTTTAAGCCACTGATTTTATACCCACAGAGCAATCTTTAAAATCCCTGCCTCACTATCTTGTTATAGAGATTAAATGAAATAATAGACTGCTTAGCATACTATGTTCATAGAAGAGGATTTCTGCTAATGCAGATGGCTATTATTATCTCCCTTCATTTGCTTTTTCAAAATCTGCCTGCACCATGATCTCTAAACCCTTGTCTCCAAAAAGAAGATGCATTTTTCCATCTTGGAACCAAAACCTATAACCTGGTCACACTTGGTGGGGCTCTAGCAGAAGCACAGAGTTCTTTGTGGGAACATAGAACCCCAGGTGCCTGAGAGACGAAATGATGTGTCTGTGGTCACAAATGGAGTGAGGTTCTCCAACTTAGGGTTTTCCACACTCTGCTCAGCTGCTTTGCACTGATTTGTCTGCTTCCTATTGTAACAGCTAACTCTACTCCGTCTCTAGTATATTCTTTCTCTTCCACCAACTGACAGATCCATGCCTATTGGGAAGACATTATATCCCAGAAACACCATCTGCTTCCCAGCAACATCCACAGATGTGTATTTAGATCCACAGGTTGAGTGCTTACTTTGTTCTAGGCATTATGCTGTTACCTCATTGAACTGGTAAGACAGTTACTATTACTGCCCTCATTTATGAGCGTGGAGGCTAAGTCTCCAGATGTTAGTGACTGTAGTCACCCACATAATAATTGATGGGGTTGTTTGAGGCAAAAAAAAAAAAAAAGTAGTTTGAGGCAAAAAAAAAAAAAAAATTTGATGGGGTCAGAAAATTTGAACACAGGATTTTGTAAACTTAGATTCAATGACTTTAACCACTGTTTAATATTGTCACTTTATGCAAAGCACGATGCTGGAGACTTAATGAAATAGTGAGTATTAGGGTAACAAATGTGTGGTCTCTATATCAAACGATCTTGAGGGAAATGATATTCACATACCAATGATGAGCAAGGTAACTCCAAGAGAGGAGGACTTTTTCTAAACTCAGCAACAGTGTAACTAAACCTCAGTAAGAGCCTGGTTTAAAACAGAAAGCAAATGCAAAAGGAGAATAGCTCTCGATTACATGTTGGAACAATTAACAAAATTTGATGCCCAATTGTATTAATTCAGAAAAATTATATGCCCAATTGTATTAATTCAGAAAGAGTATCTTTATGTGGGCATGAGCACATCTGTAACTACAAATATATATACACCAACTGCTGACGACATTGCCCAGTAAGGTTTACAAAGGCCTGGGGAAGGGTGCACCAGTAATAATAAATATAATACTTCATGGATTTTTTAAATTGACAAATTAAATTTAATAAATTGATAAACTTAAAAAAATTAAATTGATAAATTAAAATTATGTACATTTGTGGTATAGAAAAGAATATTTTTGAAATACACATATGCTGTGGAATAGCTAAATTGAACTCATTAAAATTTGCATAGCCTTAAAAGTCTAGCTCAAAGCCAATTTCAAGTAATCAATGTATTGCTATGAATTATCATCACTAAACAGATCTCTTAAATTTATTCATACCAACTGAAATTTAATATTCTTTAATCAGTATGTCCCCAACCCCCTGTCTCAAAGCCCTGATGAGCACCTTTCTATGAGTTTGACATTTTTAGGCTGCACACATGAGTGAGGTCTTGCAGAACTTCACTGACATTTCCCTTAACATAATGTCCTCCAGGTTTATCCGTATTCCCCTAACTTCTTCTTAAGACTGAATAATACCTCATGGTGTGTAGCAATCACATGTTTATTCATGCATCCATTGATGGACACATGGCTTGATTGCATAATTTGTGTGTTGTGAATAACACTGCAACCAGCATTAGACTACAGGTATCTCTCAAAATATTCACTTCATTTTCTTTGGTGATATACTTTGTAGTGAGATTTAGGGATCTCATTAAGAATAGTTGCTAAATACTAAGACCTCCATGGTTTTGAAGAATATACTCACTGTCCTCTATGATGGTTGTACCAATTTACATTCTCCCAACACTGTACAAGGGTTCCCTTTTCTTTACATCCTCACCAACACTCATCAGCATTTACATTTTGATAATAGGCATCCTACATAGTATGAAATCATGTTTCATTGTGATTTTAAATTGTATTTCCTTGGTGATTAATAATGTTGGTCATTTTTTTAAATTTTAAGATAAACTTTATACAACAGAATTCACTTGACCATTTTAAAATGTCAATTCAGTGGGTTTAATACCTACCAACCCAATACCTACCAATATCACCACCCTTCCACTCCTGTTCCCTGGCAACCACTGTAACCAGATGTTTCTCAATCCCGCCACCACCACCCCCCCACGGTCCCACAGCCACTTATAAAATAATCACTCAGAGGCTTATATTAATTACAAACTGTATGGCCTATGGCTTCAGCTTCTTGCTAGCTAGCTCTTTTATCTTAAATTAGCCCATTCTTATTAATAATCTATATGTTGCCATGTGGCCTTGGCGTTCCCAGTCTGCTGGCATCTTGTTGCTCCTTTGTCTGCAGCTGGCATCTCTCTCCCGACTCCACCCTTCTTCTCTCTGTATCTCTGCTTGGATTTCCTGCCTGGCTGTAAGCTTTCTTGCCATAGGCCAAAACAGCTTTATTTATTATCCAATGGGAGGCACACATATTCACAGCATACAGAAAGATATCTCACAGCAAACCACTAATCAATTTTCTTCCTGTAGTTATTCAGAACATTTCATATAAATGGAAATATATGTGTGACCTATTTGTTCTAGGTACTTCCCTTAGCATGTGATTTTTTTTTTAATTTTGTGTGTGTGCATCATATGTATGTACCACAGCATGTGGAAGCCAGAAGACAACATTTGCAAGTTGGCTTTTGCATTCTACCTTTGCCTTTGTTTTTAGGCAAGGCCTCTTGCTTCTTACTGCTACACTATATACTCCAGGCCTTAGAGCAATTCTCCAGCTCTACCTCCCATAGTACTGTAGGAGTCCTAGGATTAAAAATACCCACCACTATGTCTAGCTTTTTACAAGTTTCAGAGATCTGAACACAGGACATTAGGCTTGCACAGTGAACATTTTTACCCACTGATTCATCCCTCTAACCTAACAAAATGATTTCCAATTTTCACTCTTTTAAAAATTTAGCAATCTCTTAAGGCTGCTAAAAGCGGAGATTTCCTAACCCTGTCTAATGACTGTGTCGCTTTAAGCAGACCAGTCTTGTTGTCACACAGCTGGGAACCTGCTTCTTTCTTATTTCCAGTCAGAGTGGTACTGTGTTGGTACCGGCATCCTTTGTTCCTAGAAGGTGACAGTCAGTCTTGCATTGAACATTTTTTGCATGGACATTTTGGTTGCTTGTGTGCCTTCTTTTGAAGTGTCCTTTGCCCATTTTCTAACCATTTCACATGTTTTTGTTGAATTATTTGAGTTCCTTGTAGATTTTGGACATTGTCCCCTGTATCATTTGTATCACTTGCAAATATTTATTACTCTTTATCGAGTTGTCTCTCCACTGTTTTGATTCTTCACTGTTCTGATTCTTTTCTTTGCTGTATTTTTAATCCTCTTTGCCTGTTTTTTGTTTGTTTTTTGTTTTGTTTTGTTTTGTTTTTTTTGTATAATCTAATCTGTCTGTGTTTGTGGTTACTCTTGTCACAGCCTGTGATTTGGTGGTGATATCCAAAAGTCCTTTGTCCAAACCAGAGTTGTAGATATTTTCCTCTATATTTATTTTAGCAGATTTGCTGTCTTAGGTGGTAGCTCAGGTCTTTAATCTTCTTGAGTGAACTTTCTGTGTATGCTGTGAAGTAAGTCTCTGATACCATTCTTTTGTGTGTGAATATCCAGTTTCCCAAAATTGATTATTGAAGACATTGTCCTTTTCCTGCTATAAGCTCCTGGCATCTTACTCAAACCCAATGGACTATAAATGAATCTATTTATTTTTGAGCCCTCTGTTCCATTTCCTTGGCCTATGTGTCTGTTTCTATGCCAGTTTTCATGCTGGGTTGAGAGAGAGAGAGAGAGAGAGAGACAGAGAGAGAGAGACAGAGACAGAGAGAGAGAGAGAGAGAGAGAGAGAGAGAGAGAGAGAGAGATTTTTTAACCAAATAATGTGATGTCTCCAGCTTTGTTCTTTTTGTTCAAGACTGCTTTTGCTATTTAGGGTCTCTTGGAGTACCCAATGAGTTATTTGTATTCTTTTTTCCTATTCTGAAAAAGAAAAGAAGAAACTAAGAGTACACATTGACTGGAGTCCCTACAGTGGGTCCAGGAAAGCAGTTTCATTAAAAACATAGAAGCCTGCCCGCAGTGGTGGCCCACGTCTTTAATCTCAGCACTGAGGAGGCAAAGGCAGGCAGATCTCTGAGTTTGAGGCCAGCCTGGTCTACAATGCAAGGTACAGGATAGCCTGGGCTAAGTAGAGAAACCTTGTCTCCAAAAAAAATAAAAAATAAAAATAAATTTAAAAAAAAAATGAAGCCTTGTAAAGTCAACAGAGCAAGCAGTACCTGAGACCCTACTAGAGTGATTAGTCAGATCGAGGCAGTGTTTAAAAGAAACATTTGAGCTATTTAAAAGCCCAGAGGTGAGTGCCACAGTAGTGGTTCAGGCCTTTAATCCTAGCACTTAGGAGGCAGAGGCAGACAGATCTCTGAGTTTGAAGCCAGCCTGGTCTATAGAGTGAGTTCCAGGATAGCCAGGGCTACACAGAGAAACCCTGTCTCAAAAAAAAAAAAATGAAAACAAACAAACAAAAAAATCCAGAAGGTGGGCATCTATTTATACACCTTGAATCTTCCTGTTTGACGGAAGTCTTTAAAGAACAAAATAAGGCACTGAAATTATTTCTTTATTAGCTGTGAGTTATTGTTCCAAACAAAGCCAGCCTTTGTGATCTCTATTTTCAAGTGCTTGGTTCTCTTCTGAACACAAAAGCTACTAATTTCAACTCTGCAAAACTGCAGACCGTTTTTTTTTTTTTACAGCTAGCTACGTTGGGTCATTTAGCCTGACATTTTGATCGTACCTTTCTTAAATGCCTGTGTTTGGTAGCTAGCCGAAGGAAGAGGGGCGCCCAGCCCTGAGAGGGTAGGTGGAAATACCGCCAGGAGCAGTTGCCATTGACCGTGAGAACCCGGTCTGACTTGCAGGTGCTGGCCTGCCAAGGGGAGCGAGGAGATCTCAGCCAACCCTTACGACTACAGAAGGCTCCTGCGCAAAACCTCCCAGCGCCAGCGCCTGGTGCAGCAGTTGTAGCGCAGCTACAGAGCTTCAGAAAGTGCTGGACCCTGAGACACCAGAAGGACCAAAGCAGCAGCAGCAGCCGGCACCCTCTGGCACCCACCCGAACCCTCAGAACCCTCAGGCACTGGAGCCGCTGATGGCCTGCCAGCTCTGTTCCCTCTCAAATACTAGGGCCACCTCGAGAGGCCCTGACCCAAGAGAATCTGAACTCCTTTGGGGAGTTCCAGATACTGGACCCCCAGACTTCTCCCACCTGCCCGCCGCCCCCACGGCCCTAATGTACCACTGTATTCTGCTGTTTGTGATTCAGGGTGCTCACTCTGCCTGAGCTGCCACCACCCCCTTTGCTCGTTTTGAAATGATTTAAGAGATTTCTTCTTTCTTGAAAAGACTTTCTCAGGGCCAAACGACAGTCGCTCTTGGTTGGGTACGTCAGAACAAAGGTGAGGTGGCAGTGGGAAGGAGTTTTCTCTTCTCTTGATTAATAATATTGCTAAATAAAGTGAGCATCCTGGGAAGTGTGTGTTTGATAAGGGCTTGTCCGCCTTGTGCCTTGGGGGGCCTCTGTCTCTGGTACATGGCTGGGCTGGTGGTGGCGGGAGCCGGGATGACTTCTATCTTCGTCAGCAAATCCCCAGCACCAGGTACTCTAAAGCACAATCTACTTAAACTTTACAGAGAATCATGGACGAACCTCCAAACCCATACTCACACAGCCTTCCGGGCCAGCGAACGCTGGCACTGGTCCTTGCACTGGGGACTGTCAGATAGAAAGGTCTCTTACTCTACAAATTTGAGGTAGCCTCCCCTGGGAGGTGGGCCACATACAAGTAAGCAAAAGGTCAGTGGGTGGGAGGCAGGAGTTTCCTTACCACTCGAGTGTAGCTTATTAAAACAAACAAAAAAACTCTCCACGTTAACCCTTCCATGCAAGACACCTTCCAGGTCTACACCACGTAGAGTGGGTAAAGAAGGTGTAGGCAGGGTTCCAGGCAGGACTGAATGAGCAAATAAGTTCTGATCAGGTTAGATCAGGGTTTGGCTCCTGCTTCCCAAAACTCAAACCAGAGGGAACTGATAACAGTTGTGTTGTCGTGGTCTTTGCAGAATTTGCCGCTAAAGCTCCCCAGGTACCGACTTAAGCAGCTAGGAAGTCTTACAAATAGGATCCAGCTGAGAAGAGGCCTCCTGCAGTGACAGGGCCCAGCCCCAAATTCAAGTGCGCTCTCCTCCCTGCTCCTTCCCTAGTTAGCGCCACTCCAGTTTGGGGGCAGACAAACAGACAGGACAGAGGAGTCACCCTAACTGCGCCAACCCGTGAATCGATCGGCAGGACCTGTACCTGGCACAAGAAATCTGAACGGCAGGGCTCGGGGCCCGATATGGGGGAAGCAGGAGTAGGATGCCCTGAGCTGGCTAGGCTTCTTGAGGCTCCAGCGCCCCACCTGGAGCAGGTACTGTAGGGAGGAGCCTTGCTACGCTGCCTACGGGACCCTTCCTTCAATCCTGGCTTCCAGCGGCTCCTGAATACTGGAGTCCTCACAAGAGTATCTGCAAAAGCATATTAATTTATGGATAGGGAGGCGACAAACAGCTCCATCCCAGCCCCTGCACTCCAGGTTAAGTAAGACTGGAAAAGCAAATAGCCAGCTCTTGGTGGAAGATTGCAATGTTGTGGTTGTTTTCATCCCTTTTTCTTTCCATCTGTACTTTCTCGGTCCCTCAACATTTAAGCACTTGTACCAAATATCCTTCTTTGACCCCACCTGCCACACGGAGATTTCTGGGTGCACTGTGGACAAGAAATGGGTCCTCCCGGGACACCTTCCTGTACAGGGCTATGCTGGAGATTTTGGTGTGGGTCTCCCCGAATTAAAGGGGGAAGCCTTGGAAAGCCTTCCTCCCGGTAGCAGCCTTCCTGTCCCAGTCTGCGCTGCCTCCTTTGTGAACTAATGGCTGTAATTATTACCTCCCTGTGCTCTTTTGTTATCGCCAACTAGAGCAAAAGGAGGGGGGATGGGCTCTTCGGGGGGTGGGGGGTGGGGGGGAGGGAATGAAAAAATTCACAAAGCAAATTGCTGTCTAGGAAGGGATGGGTTTTTAAAAGACAAACCCAATCCCACCTGCATCTGAAGTGGGGAGTGGCAAAAAAATTTTTTTTTCTTAAATTAAATACCACCATTTAATTTAAAAATACTAAGGGCTGCGAGCTTCAGTTGCATTTAAACGGTGCCTGTTTAAGTCACAGATTTTGAAGAAGTTAAATTCAGATGTTGAGATTCTACCTTCCTCTTGTTTTCATCCATTTCTTCCTTGGAAGGTGCGTGCATGCTTGCTGTGTGTGTGTGTGTGTGTGTGTGTGTGTGTGTGTGTGTGTGTGTGTGTGTTTATGAACCTTTTTATTTCAGACCACTCATCCATAGTAAGAAAGCTTCAACCCCTGCCAGCTGGCTTGAAGCAAATTATTTGCAGGATTTGGTATGGATTTAAACAAAGAACCGGGCTCTCCGAGTCATATCGGCAAGGTTTGATGGAGCAAGCGCGCCCAGCAGACGTTGGAGCCAAGATCCCTGCATTCCAGGAGCTGTCGCCTCTGCCAGCTGAAGCGACCAGGCCTGGAGTGCCCTAAAGACTGACCAAGCTAGGCCTAGGGTCAAGATTACAGCCTTCCCTGACCATGCTCCTGCTTCTCGCCAGAGCAAGCTTAGAGACAGACCTGGGGCAGCACCCCAACGGTGCCAGCCTCAACCCTGGATCCTGCAGCCTCGGTGGGCATCCACTAGCTAGCTCCTCCGGGGCCCCTGGATTCGGGCACATGGGAAGAAGATAAAGCTTTGTGGAGAGAATGCACTTGGAGATTCAAGACGTGGGCATGTGCACAGCCGCGAGGTCTCTCCGGATCCCTAACAAAATAAGTCACCCTGGTCGCCAAGACTGAAGGCTCCAGGGTGCCTGCTCTGGCAACAGCTTTGGTGCCTCGTTTAAAAAGAGAAGGAAGGAGACTATAAAAAAGGCTGACACTAGCTCGGGGCGCCCAGAGAAGGCCATTGGGAATGGCTTAAACCAGCACTTTCCTGCCAGTCTTTCTTGAGCTCCCTGTAAATCAGCCGGGAGCTATAGTTAGAGTGTAGGCAAGAGCCAAGTCCGAGGGTCCCAAATCCTCAAGTGGCCTTCCCTGTTTAAGAACCTTTAGGGAAAAGAAAAACAAAAAAGGATTGTTTCATTCCTTATTAGAAAAAGCAGAACTACTTCTCCCTGGGCCTGGAAGTTGCCAATTTTATGTTCCTAGGCACTCCCTACCTTCAGGATTCCTTTTGGGAAAGAGAGGTCATTGGTTTGAATCCCCCTGAAAAGAGGGGATGCCTTTTCTCCTGAGATTTAAAAAGTCTAGTTTGCTTACTTGGAAACCCCCTGCATCCCTCCTACGCACCCGCGTTCTTGAGTCACGCATAAGCAGTGGGCCGTTTCACGCCTCTATAGACCAAGGTCACCCCGCAACCGAGTTCCCTCCCCCATCAACCATCAATCCTGTGGGCTGTGTCAGCTCTCCCCTGCTCCTTTTCAAGAAGTTTCTGTTCGTTTTATTTATTTAATTTTTTCCCAGCCCGAGGTCCTCAGTGATAGACTCCAGTGTGGATTTTAATTGCTTCAATCAGCGGTCTTTCTCTTCAGCTGTCAGTCAAAAATCTGAACAGTGGGTCCGGGGACCCAGCGCGTGACTGCGCAAGAACCGTGCGCCCCCCAGGCTGGCTCAGCTCAGCAGGCAGACGTTAGGCTCTGCTGAGGAGATGAAATGAGTCCGTGGGCGTGTAGGCGGCTCATCTCCCCCTCCCACCCCCCTTGGTTCCTTCCCCACGCCCTGAAGTTGGGCCTGATTGTGGCCAGGTGGCTTGAGCTCTTGAGGTCACAGCGACCTCGACGCGGGTTTGGAGGAAGGCAGGCGGGCGCAAGAACCGCTTTTGCTTGGCCGCAGCCAGAGCCAGCCCTCAAACAATGAGCCAATCGATGCACACGTAAAACCGGTCTCGGTCACCCTTCCAGTGTCGCCAAGGTCTCCCTGGTCTCCGGGTGACCAGGGCCAGCGTGCAGTGGGCTGCGGTAGCACCCTGGACAGCGCGTCCAGGCAGGAGCGGGCGGGGAGCGCCTGTGGCTGGGTCAGCCGTGCGCCGTCACGCCTCCCTCCCCCGCATCTGACTCGCGCTAGAACGCACAGCCTCACACCTCACGATCCAACGCCTTCATTTCCCCTCCGTCACTCCCTCATCTCCCCACCAAGCTCCCTCTCCCTAAAAATCTCTTGGGCCCTTTCCACTTCTCCAATCTCCAGACTGCGAAGATCCTGGCGACTTCCCCATTTAACCTCGGCGAACAGCAACAGCCGCTTCCCTATGCCCTGACTCGAACACACGCACGGGCACTGGCACACGCAGACAGCACGTTTCCTGTCCCTGTGTGACACCCACCCTCGTCGCGCGGACGCGCCAGTCCCCGCACGCTGCCCTCCTCCTGCCACACACACACACACACACACTCACACACACACACGCACGCACGCGCGTGCAGGGTCGAGCCGAAGGCAGCTCTCCCGCAGCCACTCGGAAGGCGACTGGCGCCAGTCTTGCAGAACCCATGGCCTCTCCCGGCTCTGGCTTTTGGTCCTTCGGATCTGAAGATGGCTCCGGGGATCCTGAGAACCCGGGTACAGGTAGGACGATCGGGACCTGAAGCGGGAGAGCTTTGTGGGTGGCTTGGGGTTTGCAGGGCTACGCAGATGAGCAAAGCTTTGACATCTGCAACAGGAAACTTATTTGGGCGCTTCGCCCTGCTCTCTGGGTTAAGTCTGTAACTGTGTGAGGACCCCAAACCTCCACAGCCTTTTGTACCCTGGGAAGAGGCTCGGGGTATCTCGGCCCCTTCCCGTAAGCATAGGCTCCTGGAAGACCGCAGCATCTGCAAGAGTCCACAGACTTCAAGGACCGGGGCTTTGCTTTGGGACCTCTAGACCCCGGGCAGGGAAGCCGTGGGGCAAAGAAAGACGAAATGAAAAGGGAGAGTGTTTGGGGTCGGGAAGGCAAGCGCGCCGAAACGGACAGCCTGGGGTCTGGGAAAGGCAGCTCTGGCGCCGCAGGGAGGGTCTGGAAACCTGAGCACCTGACGAACAAGTGCGAAGGGCCGTGGTGTGGGCTTCGTCCTGGACCCGGTGAAGCGAGGGCTGGCCCTGGACTCAGGTTCCCTCGGGCTCCCCCACCTGCTGAAAGCAGAGTCGCCCGCGGCCGCTGGCGGGGTTGGCGCCGGGTTCCCAGATGCCCGACTTGAAGACCTCGTTCACTTGGAACGAAATTTCACTCGCCCGTCTGTTCTCTTTCCGCTTCGCTGTCCCCTTGCCTGGCGATTGCAGCGAGAGCTTGGTGCCAGGTAGCTCAAAAGTTCACCGGCGGCATCGGAAACAAGCTGTGCGGTGAGTGGTGGCGCGCTGCGGGGGAAGGGCGGGCAAGGTCGGGGGCTAGTGGCTAGTGGAAGCCTTGTCGCCAAGCTCGCAGCCTGAGCGGGGCCGAGTCCTGGGCTGCGGATGGGCGGGGATGAGGGAGCCAGGACTGTCGCCCGCTGACCCAGGCCCCGCGCTCCGTGTCCTTGTCCAGCTCTGCTCTATGGAGACTCTGAGAAGCCAGCGGAGAATGGCGGGAGCGTGGCCCCGCGCGCCGCCACCCGGAAGGTCGCCTGCACCTGCGACCAAAAACCCTGCAGCTGCCCCAAAGTGGATGTCAACTACGCGTTTCTGCACGCAACAGGTAAAGGTGCCTGCTGGCCAGGTCCGCGCTCCCCCCCCCCCCCACCGACGCCTGACCCCCAGTCTCCAAGGGGGATGGTGGGGGCGGGCCTTCTGAGAATCTTCCACGGAATTGGAAGGGCGTGGGGTCTGCGGGCTGGAGCGCCCTGAGAACCCGGCCCTAACATTTCCCAGTCGGAGTCGCCGGCCACAGCGCAGGCTTGAGAATTGGAGGTGGCAGCCGCCGTGGCGTGCGCCTATGTCGGCTTCTCTGCGCTGCCCCAACCTCTGGGTAGGGCAAATTTCCAGATGTCTTCCCAGATAGTTCGGAATTGCAAGGATTTTTAGGTGTTCAATTGGATCCAGAGTAATTTGTAACCGTGATTTCACCGAGAAACGGTTCTGTTTACGTGAGCCCTGGGGGCTCAATTTTACCTCTGCTTGCACGACTCCCAGTCTCCCAAACAGCGCTGGAGCGCGCTCACACACACCTACACACTCCAACTTTGACAACATCTGGTCTTCAGAAGTCAGAGATCATGACTTCGCATGATCCTCTTTTCCTGGTTTGCCCAAAGGCATTTCTCAAACATTCCCGACATGGAGTCTTGACAATTAAAATTATTTACTCAGAACATTTAGGACAAACATTTCACGCCTGTGAAATAGTCAAGCTGAGCTATTGTTTCTGAAAAAAAAATAAATAAACCAAGCAACACTCTATGTTTAAGTATAAAAATGCAAATTTTAATTCCGGAAGGAAGTTTTGTCCGCTTGTGTTTCCAGATGCTGTGGTTTTTGTTTGAAACCAGGTCTTCTAGCCCTTAAACCAGATCTGGCCTCCAGCTCCCAGGGACCCCCCTCCCCTTGCCTCAGCGATTAGAGTGCTAATAAATCCAACTCAAAGAGAAAGTGCCTGATCCGTGATTGCCTGGGTCTTTGCCTAGTGAAATCTAAAGTGTCCTTTCCGTTCCGTTCTTCAGACCTGCTGCCAGCGTGTGATGGAGAGAGGCCCACTCTGGCATTCCTGCAAGATGTTATGAACATTTTGCTTCAGTATGTGGTGAAAAGTTTTGATAGATCAACTAAAGTGATTGATTTCCACTACCCCAACGAGCTTCTTCAAGAGTATAATTGGGAATTAGCAGACCAACCACAAAATTTGGAGGAAATTT